GGCTGAAAACTCATTATTTCAACCATTCAATGTTGATTATTCAGAAGGGTTCGGAACTTTTACTTCAGAAACTGTGTCTAGTTCTGAGCGTATTAGGTGCTGGGAAACATTCCTAAAACATTGGGATTCATTAGTGCTGCTTGGTAACTCGGTAAAATGAACAGAATTCGATAATGGCTTTGAAACCAGCCTTTTTTATTGGCATTGAAAACATAAAAACTACTTGACAGGCATGTTAGGACCCTATTACAGTTCATTTTGAAGCAACTACAATTATATTCAGCACAAAATTACCGAACTTTGAGGACACCTGGTCAAAATAGATCTGAATAACGAAAACCATAACTACCGAAAATGCAACAATGCAAGGAACAAAGAAAAAATGGGAGCATGGGAAAAGTAAGAAGTTATAGACAAGTCAGGCATCATAGGAGCAACGAAAAACTATTCCTGTTTTCTTTTCTGGTAATTCCAATGCAATTGTTGAGTTTTCTTGCCGATATAAGAATGGATATCTAGTATTTATACAAGTTCGTCTAATTGATGACTTGTTTATTTTGTGGAAATACACGATCACTTCAATGAAATGAATGAAAACACTTTTGTCTAATTTCCACTAGTTATTTTATTTTAACGACCGGTTTCAGGTTTTATCCCATTGTCTAGTATAAAAACTAACCAATGAGGAGGTAATTGAATAAATGGGGCTACCAACTATGAAAATTCAACACTGGATATCATAGAAATTACTGGGGTTGTCAAACTTATAAATTCAAGAGTGGGGACCTACATAAATCGAGTTGCTCGTTTAGAGTTATATATTTCGGGTTATCAATTGATTTATTTATTTATATGGTTTCCAACAAACTCATTTTCTTTACTTTATTACATGTGTGTAGGATTTTGAGATTATCTTTACTGATTTTGTGTTTTATGTTCATACATTGTGTATTTTTTGTCCAAACAGACGTTGACACGGAGCCTTACGTCAAAATTTCTACCGATTTGGCCTATATATACTGCAGAGCATTTCCGTCACTCTATTCTATATATACCTGATTTTTTCTGTCTGTTTTGGCAAAAAATCGTCTTTGATGAAGGTGAATTCTCGAAAAAGGTTGATGTCAATAGAGTGATGTAACATCCATGTTCGCGTTCAGTGCTAGAGAGTGTATACGTACCAGATTTTGAAAATGCTGTTCCCTCATGGAAAACACAGATCAAGGAGAAAATTAACACAATTAATCTTATTTGGAACATTTTAGTGATGTTAAGTGCACTATAAAATAACAAAGTTCTCGTTAGGAATTCAAATTTATATATTTGAATGCTATCATGTTATTTTGAACCATTTTGACCGAAACGATAATAGGATAAGTAGAGGTCACAGAGATACATTTTTAAGAAAATTTTGAATAACACTCACTGGAAATGTTATTGTATGTAGACATGATAATTAGTTGGCGTTGTGTAATTATTCATAATAATAGTGATAATAATACTTTATTTTCATGAATATCAAATGAAACCAAATATGTGATCCACGACTCTTGTGCAGTTCCGCTGTCTCTCAATTTTTCGTTAATCTCCGTTAATAATGGTTTAGGTTTCTCATTAATTATATTAACGTCTTCATGTAAACCTTCTAAAAGAAAATGAAGAAACTCCTGGGAACTATCTCGTGTTTGATGAACATAGGATTAAGCTGTTCATGAAACAAGTGTTGTCAATATTTTTCAACTCATTTAGCCCAAGTGTTTTGATTGAAAAATGTATTACTGGACAATTTGAAATATCTTTGAAAACCATTTCAGAATTTTCCTGAGAGAAAGTATTTTTTGCATTTGCTTTTGTTTTAATTCCACAAAGTGGTTTGTTATTACTTCTCTTTTCTTTATACAGTTGGTTTTCAGGAATCATGTAAATTTCATCAAGTTTTTCAGAATCAGGAAGAGTACCAAAAAACGAAGCCGCATTTCCTCTGTGGATGGCTACACTAATTTTTTGAATGAGAAAAGATGTGTCTCTTTATTCATGGGTTGCATTGGTTACCTTTTTTCCAATTTCATTGATGGAAGATAATGCTTCAGAGCCAAAAACACCAAAAGTTTCAACAGCTATTTAGCAAAAGATATAATTACTTCCCAAATTCTGATATTTCCGTAGTGTGGAATTTTCTCCTAGCAAGTTGCTAATATATCCACACAAGTAAAGTCCCAAACAACAGATTTGCCCTTTTTTCCATGGAACAAGTGTCATATTATCCAGCCTTTTTCCGTCGTCTCGACTTGTACCTTTGGGTTCTATGTAGTACTACTGTAGATTGCTGAGGAGTATCCAGAACTTTTAAATAATTGGTATGTTACAATCTACAACTCAAAATTGGCAAAAAAATTTCTTCGGGTTCAGATCGTCTTGCAATCAGTATAAAATGAAAAGAGCAAAAATGAAAATTCACAGGATATTTCTGTCTAAATTGTATGCTTTCAGTGGTACAATCGATAAATGCAATGACGTTTCATAACCTCTTTATTCACAACTTTTGCTGATATTCTCTACAATAAATACATTCAATAATTGTTCTTATGTTTACTGCATACAAATAGGTTTGGCAATTTTTTCACAGTCTTCCTCTGTACGGAACATGTTGTTGGTTTCGTGACATCCTCCAAAGGAATCCGGTACACATTTTTTTTCCAAATTACTCCAGGTAAAAACAGAAATTTCGGCCAGACATAACTCTCCATGTGGTCCTGGTAATTCTACAGGCAACCCGCAATCTGGAATTGAAAGTTGGACATATTCATACGTACAACAACTATACGACTTAACAAAAAAAGAAGAGTAATAGTTGAGGTCTACTTATATACCCAACCGTAACGTGAATAAAAATAATCAAAATGAACAACATGGACTTTGAATAGGTGTCATCATTCTGATTACTGCTCAAAAGTATCCCAAAGAACTTTTAAATAATTGGTATAGTACAATCTAAAATTAAAAATTGGCAAAAAGGGGACTCTTTGTGTTCAGATTGTCTTGCAAACTGTTTAAAATTAAATAATACAGGATATTTATTTCTCTTTGAATTGTATATGCATTTCTTTCACTGGTACTATCGATAAATGCAAGGACATTTCATAACCTTTTTGTAAACGAATTTAATTCACAACTTTTGGTGATATTCTACAGTAAATACATTCAATATTTGTTCATGTGTTTATTGCAGACAAATGGGTTTGGCAATTCTTTCACAGTCTTCCTCTGCACGGAACATGTTGTTGGTTTCGTGACATCCTCCAAAGGAATCCGGTACACATTTTTTTTCCAAACTACTCCAGGTAAAAACTGGAATTTCGGCCAGACATATGTCTCCGTCTGGTCCTGGTATTTGTACAGGCAACTCGCAGTCTGGAATCAGAAGTTGAACATATTCATATTGTATTTGTGATGCACAGTTTGGAACGTTTGGTGCAATAAGGAATATTATTGGAGTTTTATCTCAAAACCAAACCGTTATTTTTAACATTTCAACACGTGTTTCGATCACCCAGTGATCATCTTCAAGAGGAAGATTAAACAGTTTAATTTTCCTCTAGAATTCCGCAGTAGAAATCAGATACCCTTCTGGAAAACTTAGAACTGGATCCCCCAAACAGCGTCCAAGGACGAGAAGCAGGTGGATATGAAAGTGGTACATTTGGAAAATGTTAACACTCAATAGAAATGTTATTATATGTCGACATAATAATTAGTTGGCGTGTATAATGCCCCCAGGTAAGTAGTCCCACTGTGATTTAAAAGTGCATATAGATTATTACAACAAGTTGCTACATTTTCTGTTGAAAAATTGTCCATATCTAATCCTTTAGAGGTAATTCGATGACAACATTCAATTTGCTTCTAAATCTGTCCGTTGTGGAGAATCTCTTTAAATGAATTACTAAAATACGGGTGAATTTGTGGATTGATAGGGACTTTGTGCATTTCCTCCTTTCTTTGCATTTCGAACACGTCGGTTTTTCATTTCCATCCAAAGTTTCGTCTCTTGTGAACGAATCCAAGCTTTGCCACAAATTCAATTGGTCGGTTCTGTCCGCTGTCCCTCAATTTTTCGTCAATCTCCGTTAATAATGGTTTAGGTTTCTCTCTTTTCTTTATACAGTTGGTTTTCAGGAAACATGTGAATTTCATTAAGTTTTTCAGAATCAGGAAGAGTACCAGGAAGCCGCATTTCCTCTTTGGATGACTATACTAATTTTTTGAATGAGAAAAGATGCGTCTCTTGATCCATGAGTTGCATTGGTTACCTTTTTTC